CCCGACCATCCTGTTCTCATAGCAGTTAATGATATAATACTTTAAGAAAGCTTATGTAATATAGAGATAGTAATGATTTCAACTATTTTTCTATTCTTTTGCCTTCCGAGTGGAACAAAGACTTCAAGCCTGGACATTAAAGTTTTAGTAGGTATGGTGCTGATTTTTTTTACGGAGTGAGCCCCCACCCCTCTTTACCGGCCATATGAAGTATAGGAGTTTATCGTCCGGGAGTCTAACATGGACCATCTGCGTGTTTAGCGAGCATTCTCCCATCGAACTACCGACACAATTTCAAGTATTACTGATTACGAAAATTCACTAACACACTAAAAGGGCTATTATGTGAGAATAAATGTCATATTAGGAAAACCTGTTGGAAATTACTGTTGTGAAGTTACAACTTTAGATTAACTGTGAAGTAAGAATTTTTCTTGAAAGTATTTTTAGTACAGAATCAGGAGATATCAGTCTTTGACCGAACTATTTATCTGCAAGTTCAATGGAGTAACAAGTTAAGGACAAATAGATCATGAGACAATTAACCAGTACGTGTCTCATGTATAAGTGAAGGGGAGAAGACTGATAATAATTAAAGGACTAGGACCTGGCACAGATTTCACAATTTGAGTATAATTTGCATTGCTGCCTGTTGCTTATTAAATTCTCAAAGTTTTCACCTCACCTTCCATCTTTCGTAGCCTCTCCATTGTCACACAAATTATCATTGCTTTTCCAAAGACGATGCTAGGTATACTACTTATAATTGTCTATATGTAGCACACAAATACTAATGACACTTCTCAAGTGCTCAGAAAGTTTAAGGTAAGAACTAACCTCGGACCTGATGTCGGTAGACTGGAGGTCAAAACTCGTGAAGACTACTAGGATCGGACCTAATGGTGAGCCTTAAGCAATGCCATCTACCTGTCGGCGATATGTATTGTTGAAGACCACGTGTATATTTGAGTAAGTCCTCTGGCCTGTTCAGGGGAATTCTCATGTCCATTCGCCTTTCATTGATTTTTTGGCATATATAGCCAACCATCTCAACAAGTGGTAAATTAGTGAATACGTGTTATCTCTATTCTGCTAATTGATATAAGGTTAGTGAACTCAACTGATACGCTAATGCACCACACTTAATGTCAGTGTTGATTTTGTTGATGACGTTCTTTGAGTAGTTATTTTGCTTGAGAGTCTCAGTGATGTTTGATATTTCTTCTTTTTCTTTCTCATCCGTTATCAAAGAGTGTGCTCGCCTAAAAAGACTTGAAACAACTGATACCTTTGAGATGATGGGGTGTGATGATACGAATTCAATCAACACTGACATTAAGTATGGTCGAAAACATGAAGCCTAACAGTTGTCATTCCGTATAGAGCAGAGACATCAGACGATATCAGAAGAGTACTCAATAGGCTTGACATCAGAGTTTTCTTCAAAACATCAGGCACACTGCAAAGCGACTTTGTTCATGTAAAAGACATAATCTCTAATGATTCTCTATCAACTTCTGTCTATAAAATAAAATGTTTGGAATGTGATGTGATATACATCGGACAAACATCTCAAGAAATCGAAATCAGAAGAAATGAACAATGTAGAGCATCTCTTCGACCACTGAGAAATCCATTTGAACTAGGAAAGCTTGAAAAATCATCAGCCAGCCATAGGTCTACAAACCATAAAATCAGGCCACAAAATTGGTTTTGACAATTTCAGAAATCACGTCTAATATCAGGAGCACTTCCTATCAAATGGAATCCAAATTGTAACCAATCAATCAAATCACGACAAACCAATACTTGAAAAACAATATCGTTTTTTTCCATTCATTGGGAGATACAAAATACCTTTATTATAATGATTGTCCATTAATTTTGTACTTTTGGAAGCTGCTAACTAGCTTTGTTTTGATCCTCTTTAGTTCATCGTGAAATGATGAAATTAGGTCAGACGTTTGTTAATACAACTTTTTATCATCGGATATCATCTTGATATAATTACTACTGAAGGTCGGAGGACTACTGGATGCAACTAAATAGGTGCTTTTTACAAACTGAGCAAATTCTATTACAGCACGCAATTGCAACTGGATGAACAAAGATATTGGACATTCAAATCCAAATCTAGAAATTTATTGTATCAATACACGACACAGCGTTGAATTAGATCAGAATTGTCTCAACTTGTATTTCGTTGATACTTTCCTCACCCAATCTATGAAGTTCAGAATATGTTTGTAAGGTATACGTTGTTTCCTCAAGGAAGCAAGAACAAATGAACTCTTTTGGTTGTTCTTCGGATATCTCTTAGTCTTTACTGTCACTAATACGCCTTAATAATAATAATAATCACTTTATTCCACAACAATAACAATTTACAGCATGGAATTTTCAGCGTTTCTTTTACATATTGCAATGGTTCAGCTCTGTTTATAATTATATAAATGTATAAAATGTTAAAATATTGATAGTTAGTAGGAAAAAATAAAACCCCAACAAAATCACACCATTGCTAGGTCATAGTGAATAATAAATAAATAATATAACAAATAACACATGCATTAATATGCATTAAACAACCACATCTCAGTGCCGACATCACGCTACTATTGAAGCATCATCAGCAAACGCATCTGTCAGTTGTCGGTGACTGAGAATCTCGACTATCTTATAAATCTTAGTCTAGGAAGTAATGCCAGTATATTATTATTACGCATCAGCACCACGTATTTCTGCATAAAACTGCAGTCGCATTTATCCTGCAACAAAGGGACAGATAAAAGTAGAACGCTATGCAGAACTGTATCGGCTTAAATGATAGTATTAGATGTTTGGAGGCAATCGGCAGGAAGCCTTGGACGTTTTTGTCGTGTTTATTTCATTTAAAAAAACCAAAAAAAATTATTTGGGGGGGGGGGCCCCTAAGGAGAAACACAACAAAACCCCCACAAAAAAATTCTCCGCCCAAAAAAAAAGAAACAACACACACCACATAATTTTATTACAAAAAAAAAAAAAAATAATTGTTCGTGGGGAGAGCCATTACAAAATAATAAACCGCAAACAAAAAATATATATATTATATATATATATATTATATATTATATATTATATATATATATATATATATATATATATATATATATATATGGAGCAGACACAGACTGACTGATTGAAACATTGACAGTGTTTATACATGTATCTTGAACTACCACGGTTTTAATTCTCTTCCCAATACCCAAAAGAATAGAGGTTATTTTTCCTTGTTTCATTTGGGAGTTAGGTCATATGTACTATTATATTTCTTCTGTATATGAAATCAAATGCTTCAATTTTAACCAGTTTCTGTCCGAACGTCTTGTTATGGTGAAATATTTGAACTAGTGAGTTCATCCTAAAAGTTGATGTTTACTTGTACCAAACTTATCGGACATAAGGAACGTCTATAAAACCAACACGATGTATTTTTCCTACAACTGAGTAACAAAGAGGGGTTGGTTTCCAAGAGTTCTTAATCGTTGACATTTCTGATAGGATTTAGAAATTGTTATGTACTCGTCGCCAAATTATTGTTATGTACTGGTCGAGAATTTAATAGTCCTGACGCAAGAAAGACGGAAATCAGAAGACCACTAGGTTTGCGATGATACTTCTATTTTCCAAACACAAGGAAAATCAAAATGTATCACACAATAGTGTGAGAGCAAAATATATATGAATGTCCAAACAAGTGTGTGAACAAATCAATAGACAGTCTTAACATGATTGGCTGATTATAATGGAGTATCGATCCATATATACATAGCGAAATATAACAGACATGTCAACAAACACACATATTATATGGATATATATCACCAAAGACAGACTGTCAACAAACACACATATTATATATAATATAGGGGGAATATACATTGTTAAAGGAGACAGGTTCATCAAAGTGAAATGATCACAGACTAAGAGAGCAACAGAAAGAGAGAGACCATCATATATATATATATATATATATGGATACATATCAGAAATGAAGCTACTTTTTTAAATTACCGCACAAATGAAAACATTTTGGAAACTTATTGACTATCCTTTACCCATGTGTATCGACAGCTGTAGTTTTGAGAACACGATTAAATCCGTCCTCGTTGTCAAATGAACTCAAAAATTAGATATTTATGCCTAAGTATGAATCGCTCACCTCAATGTGTTTCTGTGTCCTTCCCAATTACTACAAAATATGAATACTCGGGAACACAAGATTCGGCACCGAGAGACAACATCTTAAGATATACTGCTTTTTGATATGTAGTCTTTCTTAGAAATATAAAACAAAACATCTTGGCAGGATGAGCGTTTTAGACCATTTATACAGTTAGAATAACTACAACCAGTGACCGGTAATTTTGCGTGATGAATGTGCTTGTATATTCTAGTGACGCAACAAACTATTATAACTGGGAATACTCTTCCTTGAAGTGTCATCATTATATTTCACACGGTGGAAAGGGTCCTGGGGTGAACTCATGCTGCCAGTTGGACAGAAATGCATCAATAGTAAAGTACTCTCCTAGGGTCATCAACACTTTAACTATTCTTAATTCTGACTCTTTGATGAAAGTGTCCGAAGATGTCAACTTTTTTTAGATACATGACTGTAGGGTTTCTTAGATAATGACACAACAAACCTTATCTCCATGTTTTTTTAGATAATTCCGGAAGATATCAACTCTAACAATATGGTTAATTATTTGATGCTAAAAAAGTTCGATGACCTTAAAAAGAGTTTTTGAATATTTATTTATTACTGTGTATCAGAATATCAGTTCCACCCCCCCACCGTTTTTTAATCATTTTTCCATATTATGACACTGTACAATCACCTCAAAGCTTTTGTAATGCACCAAAGAAATCCATAAAATGAGAATTTAAATGAAAGCAAAAGGATTTATTTTACAAGTCGATAGGCATAATTACAGGGTAGGAAACATAAGAAATTATGACTGAAAACTACGCTTTGATTGTATCTCATCTAACAGTTGCTGTAATTCTTCTTCGGTGAATCGTGGACTATCCAGACTTGGAATTAATGCTTTACTTTCTTCTGCTGTATCTGGTAGTAAATTGGCAAGAGCGGCTAGTTCGAAATTATGGAATCTTTTCTGTGATAAAAGGCTAGAATATGAGAAAATACGCTAAATGTTTATAGGCGACTTACTTTCTTACACTTTCAATTGTTTCACGATTGTTGAATTTCGAGAATTGTGTTACATAGTTTAAAGTCTTAGTAAATACAGGAGACATTTCCAGTTCATGAACTGTAGCACTCTCGTTTTGTTCTTTTCTGTGTTTTCAAGATAAAAACAAAATTAAATAAATTATGAATCCAAATAGCATAACCAAACCAAGAACATATTCGAGCGAATAGTTCCTTTTGATAAGTACTTCAGTGATAGGAACTAGCACGAAACAGTATATTATCCTTTCTGACGAATCGTGTGATTTATCTTGTGATGGAGTTACTATGTTGATCTATCATTTCTCAAGCATATTGTGATTAAGTGTGTGTGATCAATTCAACATTCTTTGTCACGCCTTGGACTTTGTCGGATCGTCTACCAATCAGGATAGAAATTTCCAGCCAATAGGAAAAATCCGTTTCCACGGCTGTGAACCAACTTTACTGTGGTAAAGAAATGTATTAATATACTGTTTTGTTTCCTAATAAATGTACAATAATCTTACAGTAACAGACTAGCCTGTGGCTTCGAATATTTGCGTGGCTCAGTTAATCGGAAGGTACAATGGATAAATAGCCATATTAGCGTACCAGTCGAGTTTATTGACGTTAAAACAATTAACACGTGCAGACTTAACAATTTGGCCACGAGTTTATTCAGCTCAGTGCAGCTAAAAACACTCAGGCTACACAGTTATAAATCCACCAATAATAAAAATACAAAAAGCCAAGTGAAAAATATGCCGGATATCACTGGAGTACATGTATAAGCTGGAATAACAGTCTGTTGGTTAACATTGTCAACTGAATGTATATATAATGTACATTCATTCAGAAAATGACATACTACTGTATTTACAGTTAAAAGAATATAAGCTTCACCGGGGGTCAAACTTGATACTTATGAAATCTCTGCAGACTAACTCTCGGAAATATGAGTAGTACAAAATCCATACAAACAAAGGAGACACACTGAATCTAAATTCGACAGGTTAGGGACAATAGGTCTTGTAATGAAATAAAGATGTTAAATTGTGAACTATTATCAAATACTTGAGACACGGCACGTTTGTGTACAACTTGGGCACTGCAGTAGTATGTAATTCAATCTTCATATGTCTCTTAAGTATATCATACAGTGAAACAGTATTATTTACTGGATGACGTTTCGAACACAATTTATTGTGCATAATCATATCGCCAAGTATAACCACACAACTTCGAAACTTTCATTTCACAGTTTTCTTTATCCTTTCCCATTCTTCGTAGGGGTAGTAGAATTTTCCAGATATCAGGGTGAACAGGTGTTGAATCATTTCTATTACACGTATTCTCTTCAGTTGGTTCGATAAATAAAGCCTCCGTTATCGATCTCCCTCTCCACTCTGTTAAATTAGAATTTAGAACTGTCATCTTATGTCATCATCCTATTGTATGGTTGGTTGTGTGTAACTGCATGTAGTCAGTGGTATAGCTGAACTAACTATTCTCCAGATTTCTGACCTTATTCGGGCCAAGTAGTCTAGATTTTGCTGCCAGGCTTTTGTGCTCCGCTAGTCAGACTGACCCTGTTCTACTACTTTGACCTACATATTTGACCTGACAATCAATCCAGATCGAGCAGGATATTAGATAAACTAATTTCTTTTGTTTAATTGGCTCCACAGGATTGATCCCCCAACCGACAGAGCTTGTTTCAAATTGAGTTTGTGGATTTGAATGCCATGTGATTCCTGTCTGCAATGTTAGGAATTTTCCAACATCACCAAAATCCCCAATTGTCACAGATATATTCACGGATAGGTGCGAAAACTTACCGATTCAAATGTTCAAGCCCAACCTCAAAGTGTGGTGGTATGTAGACGACACACTCACCGTACTTAGAACAAAAGACATACATAGATTTTTCCAACACATCAACTCGAATGTGGAGGCGATTCAATTCACTTATGAATTAGAAGTCAGGAAGGGGAGCTTCCAATGTTGGATTGTAGAGTGGAAAAGAAAGTTAAACGCTGGCGTTTGCAGGAAACCCACACATTCAAACCGATATACGGATTTCCGATCAGCCCACCCTATGTCAATAAAAATATAATTGGTGAAAAGCGTTCAAATAACTGGGCACAAAAATTAAGTAGTACCGCGGAAAACCAACGACAGGGGCTGAGGCGTATAAGAGAAGCCTTGAAACTTAATTATTACCTTGATAAATTAATCAGGATGTGGGGAAGTGTAAAATAAAATTAATAATAATAGTAGTAGTGATATTGACATGCAAAGTGTCCACATACTCAAATGAAACAAGCTCTGTCGGTTGGGGGATCAATCCTGTGGAGCCAATTAAACAAAAGAAATTAGTTTATCTAATATCCTGCTGGATCTGGATTGATTGTCAGGTCAAATATGTAGGTCAAAGTAGTAGAACAGGGTCAGTCTGACTAGCGGAGCACAAAAGCCTGGCAGCAAAATCTAGACTACTTGGCCCGAATAAGGTCAGAAATCTGGAGAATAGTTAGTTCAGCTATACCACTGACTACATGCAGTTACACACAACCATACAATACTTACTCTTTACTTTACTTCGGCTATCTCCTACGGGAGGATGAGCCGGCTTCATGAACAACTCGAATCATCGTTGCCCAGACGCGGCAATCTGATGCAAGGTTTTGCGGCAGGGTTATGCAATTCTTGTTCCACAGACGGAGTCCGTAGATGGTTTGTAGCCCCAGGCACTCTATATCAGCCTTGACTGTACCAAGCAATGTTTTCAGCTGTCCACCCCTGAGACATCGCCAAGATGGAAATGGCGAGGGATTTAGAACTGATTTGACCAGATCGTCATCTGGTCGGCGCAGAACATGGCGAAACCACCGAAGGCGACGTTGTTGGACCAGTACTGGAATTTGGTTGATGTTGTAGAGAGTTCATGAAGTTTCATGGGAATTAGGTACGAGTGATGTCCCCAGCATCGCTCGGCCTTTTGTTTGAGAGTGTAGCTCTAGCCTTTACACAACCAAGTGTGACCTACAAGGCAGTGGGAGTGGAGTAGGGAGTCCACTATCCATTAGCAGCCGGTGACCGGAGTCCGGTTCATACGCCTTTTTGAATGGGGCCAGTCATCCAGGGCATCCAATAAGCCCGTTGTCCATACGTCTGCCGGTGAGCTTCATACGCCAGTCGTTGGAGGTTTGGAATCAGGGTTTAGCCATCTCCCGTAGACTGTCATCCAATGGACAGTCAACCCGGTGAAGAGCGCCGGGCATCCGCTTTTGCCCTCTCACTTTGGTGAAAAACACCTCCGCCACGTGAAGGCAGTGAGTAGGACTTTCTCAGGAGAGGCTATGTAAGACGCCCGGTCATATGGGAGCATTTCAAGAGGTGTACGGAGGGGTGGCCAACCCGCAGCGCAAGGCACCCACCCCCGACCATCCTGAGGCTTTGGAGGCAACCATACAATAGGATGATGACATAAGATGACAGTTCTAAATTCTAATTTAACAGAGTGGAGAGGGAGATCGATAACGGAGGCTTTATTTATCGAACCAACTGAAGAGAATACGTGTAATAGAAATGATTCAACACCTGTTCACCCTGATATCTGGAAAATTCTACTACCCCTACGAAGAATGGGAAAGGATAAAGAAAACTGTGAAATGAAAGTTTCGAAGTTGTGTGGTTATACTTGGCGATATGATTATGCACAATAAATTGTGTTCGAAACGTCATCCAGTAAATAATACTGTCTCACTGTGCGACTCATCTAAAAACTACATAATATGGAACTACTCTGATGTGAGTATAAAACTTGGGCAATATGGTAGAGTGTAACTCCATAAATACTTTGGTATCCTTCTTCGCGCGTGGATTTAACTGTTGGGAATGCATTGTTCAAGACTTGCATGAAATGTTGTTTATCCAAATTGTCGCAAACGATGAAGGCATCGTCTACATAACAGTGATAATATTTAAGCAGATTCAGGAAGATTTTGGCTAATAGGGAACACAGGAGTATCGGGGAGGCTATGGAAACCCCATCTGTTTGTCTAACACTCCTTGATGTGCACATTAACAGTACATTTTAACAATAACTCCTTCAATTTCATGGCGTGATCTCAATTTTTATTTCAACAGCTTCCTGGTGTATTGTAGTCCACTGTTTAAACAAGGGGAACACCGGTAAATAATAATGCTATATCCGAAGACAAAACAGTTTGATTCATTAATTTTGTTTAATATTGTCTACAGAGGTGAAATCATCCTTTAGACTGCATTTAAACAACTCCTGATATAGAGGCTTCGGCAAATTCACCAGTTATTTGGCAGTTAAATGAAATGGCGAATACGATACGTCTAGCATGAAGCGTGGAGGAACTCGCTGCTTATGGATCTTCGGTTAACCGTATAGCCTAGATGTACGAGTCTCGGGTAGTTTTAATAGGGTCGAATATAGAATTATCAATTAGATTTTCATTTTTTTAAAACCAGAGCTTTAAAGGTTCTCTAACTGCTACAGAATCGCAACGAAATTGATAAATAGTGGAAGAAACCGTAACCGAATGTTCGAGCTATATGATGAGGTATTTAGCTTACTTAGTTTGTCATCAACCGTGTTATTTTTCATTACAATACGATTTTGCAACACTCAATTTATCCTTCCAAATACGTATTGTTCTTGCTCTCTTAATTTAAACCTTAATAATAAGGTTCAGTAAATATATTTACTATATGTAGTCCTTAAACGTTTGCACTACAGGGAACGCCATGCAGTACACAATATATATTCGATGTCATTTACCAGTCAAAAGCGTTATATAAACTTATACACAACATTGTGGCATAATTCGTTAACCAGTAATATAAAGATAGTGCGGAATAAAGATAGTGTCACATGACGGCTGAATATTTAGATATTCGGATTAACTAATCCTAGGTGAGTTTAGAAAACCACAGTAGTGTTAAGGAAAAGAAAAATTCAACTGCATATCGCCGCTTGAATGCAAGGATTGGTGTGGGAGAAAAAACACTAGTGCACACAAGCGAAGTACACAAGACAACAAGAGGTTTCCTATCAGTTGTTTTGCATCTTACATCCACTCCTTAGCACTTGCAGGAATGCTTCGACGGATGAACTACCACTGAATACCTACAATAAATTCCGATTTATCTGCACCGGAAACAGATCCAAAAACGCCAGTAATTCAATGGGTTATATGTCAAGAGAATTTCCCAAAATTATTTCATACATGGTGTCAATTGCTATACTGCTTCAGCTGGCTAGTTACCTCACGATAACCAATTTAATCCTTTAATAAAGCACTCCACAAATAAATAATAGCAAAAAACAAATAACTACATCCACCACATAAAATTTGTGACAAACCTATGTTCCAGTAGGATTTTTACTTCTGCGAGCGTAAGAGTATCGGCATTCTCAAAATCTAATTAATGTACAATTTTATTAGACAATACCTTTGGAAAATCTTAGCTCTGCTGCATCAAAATCATCGGCAACGGCATGCATTTGCGACATCCTGAAATGTAGCTCAACACACTGCAACTACCGGGTATTTTTCAAAACCTCAATATACTGTTGGCATTGCACGCACTATCGTATTTATTTTGTGGAGATCCACTCACATTGCTTGGGAGTATTTCTCGACAGTGGTGGATTGTACAGCAATTCTTTCATCCACAACAACTAATAGTATTCAAGGGATGGTGCTGCCTAAACTTTTCTTTATGTCACACACGGTCATACATCTACACCAGTTATGTGAATATATGCAACACGCCATACTTCTGATAACAGATCTCAGAGGATCTGACCAAGGTTGAGTACTTATTCTCATGGCGTGGTGAAGTCACCTCAGTTCCATTGTAGCCGATAGTCTACCGATCAAATTTTAGAAGTACATAATCGGACGGACAGTGTTGAGCAGGAGGGTGGATTCCGTTACTTTTCCGTGTGCACTTTAAATGGAGTGATCCCTGTGATTAATAGTGGTAGAATACTGACTTTGCGAACTTATAGGTATGGTCATACATACGTTTTGTACAACCGCATGGAAAAACAGTCACTTATGTGCCTAGATGTCTACGCAAGATATATGCGGTTATAAGTGCTCTGGCTGTGTCTCCATCATAATTGTCCCATCTTCTGTGTGTATCCTACTAGAATTTCTATAATTCACACTCTGTATGAGAATGATCGAAAAGACGTATAAACGGAGATGTTATCTGCCTCACCAATATAAGGATCAGCATTACCCAAAACTCATAAATATCAGAAACCAACCCATTTTCTGTGACCCAGATTTACAGGTTAGTTAAGGCTTTCTATAACTAGATCGATTATTGCTTGATTTTCACTATCTTTTCTCAAAACTTCAGTTTACGGTGTAAATATTTTTTGCACAGTGTCTGATTACGAAAAATAATATTTTTTCAGGGGAATCGAATTATTCAGGCAAATCAAAGCTAAGTGGCTTTATTGCATGTGCGTACTATTTGCAGCGTCGTAGCTCACTGCTACGCAGGTTTTATGACAATTACATTCTTATGAACTTTTTAAATGAAACTTTGCATTAGAAACTTTTTCTGATGTACATATTATCAAGAAGTTTCGCTTAACTCTAACATTTGCAAAATGTAACGGATTCAAGAATACATCAAGTTTAATAGTTAAACGTTTGTATTTGGGTTTTCATAAAATCATGTCAGTGTATTTATTTAAGTCTGACGGTGCTCATCGGACAAAGCAGATGGCGCAGCTTCAATAAATAAAATATACTGTATAATCATCCCTAGGACACCACAGCAAAACAGTGCTACGCAGATCGAATTAATCATAGTTTATATCCAGTCTTGGCATTTTTCGAATTCCTAATTTCAATGTTAGAATCATCCTACAGGATCTGCTATCCTATGGGACGTCATATTCGTTGTTTGACACTGAAACTCCCCATGACGTGAGTAATTCGGCGAGGGCATGCACTCTTATATAATTCCCGCACGGACAGTTAGACGCCTACTTATGCGCTTTTCATGAGACTGCACAAAACCCATGTACGATAGCCCTTTGAAAAGCAGAATGTAATTGACCCTAAGCAACTATCAGAACCTAGATGTGAAAGATGTTGTATAATCGTTAAATGTATTGAAAAACGTTGTAAGCATGATATTTGACTAGATAATGATCTTCAATATGTTGCAGAGACCTATCTAGATTCCTCCAAACATGCGCCATAGAGAAATCTTACCGTAACTGATACTGCCGAGCCAATTTACCTTCCTGGTTCTTTTCTCCGGCCTTCCTCAAAATCCGTCAACACAGTAAATGGGTGCTTGTGATTTTATGGACAAAATCAGGAGGATGGCTGACGCGAAGGTGAATATAGCCCGTAGATCACAGTTTGTTATATACCCTCCGTTCGTTATAACGCACGGTCATTCTTGGCATTACCAAGTGCTAAATGATTTGACTTAATACTCCAGCACTTCTATTTTGTACTGATTCCGCACCTACCCAAAAATGGTCAGCCCTTCAAGTCGCCCTGCCATGCCCCACATTTTATCAGTGCAGTCTCGTCAGGATGAGCGACTACTCCTACTTCTCCAAGATGAACGATTACATGGCATATCCCCTTTTTGAAGTAGCTCAAACTTTATACGGCGGGTATCAAGGCGTCCTAATAAATAGGCCAAATAATACCAGCGTGATATCGAGAAAGGTCAATGATATATGTTTAAATTTTGAGCCTGGTGCTTCCTTTAATCCAGTGCATTGCGCAGACATCATTACAAGTAACATTTTTCGACAAAAGTGCAGCAGTTGTAACAGCGAAAAAGTATAATGCCACCAATATAATGTACGTCAGAATATAAATTTTCAATGCAGCCGTTTTTTACAACAAATAAAAAATATAACTTTTGATTAAATCAGCATAGCGATGGACTGCGACATTACAATTAGAAGAAATATGCAAGAAAACCGACACAGCCGGCAATCCTCACTAATTTCATGATTCTACGTCCCTACGAGGATGATACGATCCTACTTTAAAGACCATATGATTTTTCCTGTCAGCTGCTGATGCCCTTGCAGGTATACCGTCTGTAGGATATTTGACAAAACAACCTAGATTTTGGAAAAGTACCTGTGTAATAATCAAAACAGTCCACCGAATCGGATACTAAATATGATTCCAATTATAATACTATAAGATATTCACGGCTTTAGGTTCTATGTTGTTCCAAACGCTGTGTGCTTCCAAATACGAACAACGCATATTAAGAAGCACAAATGAAAACTTGAGATTTATTGTTAACGAAATCAAACATCGAAGAGTGCGAAGAGAATGTCACAGTGTGTAACCACGTGAAATACACTCGTAACAAACGAAGAACATTTTTAATAATACCGTATCAAATATTTGACAAACATATGTCAAATTAAATCCTGTAAATTAATAAAATGTGTCCACGAATTTGTTTTGTAAGCGTGCAGTGAGAATTTATACAGGGAAGCCACAACCTCTCACAAAACAGATTTTCACTTATGGCACGAATTTCATACACCACGGTTGCATTATTTGTTAACGTAATCTCACCACACTTTACACGCTCATACCCAATATGGTTTTTACGAGCTAGTATAAACCAATTTGATTTCTTTGTTCTCGTTTCTTGATTGTGAGGTAGAGGTTCCTCATCTTCGGTAAACTTCTGCGTAGCTCGTCCCGCCACTCGACTGTCGTAGATTTGGTTGACTCCAAAGGGAGTAGTGCTGGGATTAATTATATGTGGTTTGTAGTATGAGGTGTTTTAAGACTGTTACTACTGTGATTGGAGTTGATTATAATTATTATTACTATTACCGATATATATATTATCCTTCAAACTTGATCAACTGACTGTTTTTGCGCTATCCCATTTCCGCTTCTGTCTCTTAGTCTGAATGACTTCACTAATTATACCTATTATTGGCATTGTTATTATAACTATCTCTTTTCTCTTGTCGACGACACCGAAGGACTAACTGGTGAAAGGATCAACTCTATTCACTGACATTCACCCACGCGCGCGCTTTGAAAAAGGAGAGTGGCCTTTTTAACTTTGTGAAGTAAATTCTGCTTTTGTTGTTTAAACCACATCAGAAGCTTTTAGTTCACTTTAACTGATTTATTTAGTTGAAGTGTTGTTTATTTTATTCACATTTTGTGTTTTGGTTGGTATCTACCTAGCTGTCACACGTATATATATTTGTGTATTTGTTTGGTCTTAAGCTCACTGTTTTCACGTACATATAACTGTGTAATTGAAACAAATTAAAGTTGTGGCCCCAACTAACAATTGTGGACGACCGGACTGCGACTTTCCGGTGGATGATGGGATGCAGTGTGACAACTGCAGCCTTTGGTTCCAAAACGTTTGCACTGGTTTAACACCAGTAGCCTATAAGAGATGTTGCAAGCCATCATCTCCATGGCTGTGCAAATTTTGCAGCAATCCATTAGATGTCCTCATCCAAGAGGCTGTAGGACTCTTGATTTCCAAGAAATTGTCGAAAGACATAGTTGAAAAGCCTGTACCAGAAACCTTACCCAAGGATGGTGGTTCAGGACATAGTTGTAAGACTCAGGATGCATCACCTCCTGAAGTCTCAGAAGCGAAAGAAGCACAAAATGCCCAAACATCTGTTGCTGCAAAGCGCAAAAGGCAACGGAAATCCAGGAGGGCAAGTAGTGCCAGCATGGCAAAACCAGCCTGTGAAATAGCAACGCTAAGGCGCAGCGTGTCTAGTGCACGAATTGCTTCTAGTCGCGGCGAAAACAGAGTAGGAGAAAGACTCCACTTGGTCGCTGCCTAAAGGTAAGAAGCAAAACAAAACTAGGAAAGAAATAGTAGCCGAGTTTACCAACAAGGTCTCGACGACTGTTAGTACCAGCCAAACTCAGGAACCCACGAACTCTAGTTACAGTATTATCATCTGGAACTTGGAGGAATCAAAGAACACAGATCCAGCTGCCCGACATGCAGATGATCTGAAGGCGATAAGCTCCATTTTCCGGGAGATACTTCCCGAAAAAACAACTGGAGTACATGTACGAAAGGCCATCAGGATCGGAATACGAAACACTGATGCTTAAGGAACTCCTCGACGAATACAAAGATAGTTTTAGGGAACGAAACAGAGAGGAGGACTGTCAGCCACGTCTCGTAAACCGTTAATGCCCAGCTCTCGCTACGCTGGGACTCACGCTGTTCCTTGAAGTTTCTCAGAAACGCTTAGTAATAACGGACGCAAAATCCAAAACACCGATTGGCCACTCGAAAATACTTTATTGTAACACCAACATATAAACAATGTTGCCACTAAGGTCTGTGAACAAATATTACAATAATAAATCACAATATTACTTCTAACGGATTTCTGCTGACGGTTTCTACCGTCAGAAACTGTCAATCACGTCTCATAAACCGTTAATGCCCAGCTCTCGCTACGCTGGGGCCCACGCTGTTCCTTGAAGA